ACTTAGCACGTCTGTATTTTCTCCTTGCAATTTAGTGATAAAAAACACAGTGAATATGCCTTTTCACTTTTTGAAGTACACATAACACTCGGATTTAAATCCGAGGTTTTCGCATTTATTTTTTGGATAGAAACGATTCAAAACTTCGTCTTAATTTAATATATTTTTTATAAACTAAGTCAAAAATAAAAATAAAAACAGTGCAGAGATCATTACTGCATGTATTTCAATATAATAAAAGAAATGAACTTGATCTAATTAAACAAAGAAAAATAGATGAACTAATAATTCTTATTTTTATGTTTTATATTAAAATACTTTTAGAATATCAAAGTTCGAAAGTTAATCAATGTCAAGGATCAATATTCTCTAATTTAACCAATGTATTTCGACGTATTAGAACCTATTTTCATAGTAAATCTTCACCATCTACTATTTCATCTTCTTCATCATCAACATCTTACTTTACATTTGTGCTTTGGTCTTTAATAGCTATCAAAGTTTATCAATTTTATCAATATCTTATACCAATCTCAATTTTTATAATTATTTATAAAATTATTAAATATTTTCTACTCTATACATATTCTTATTTAAGTCGACAAACACGTACAAAATATATTATTCAGCGAATTATTCGTTTCTGGAAAATTAGGTAAGAAATATTTCTTTATAAACAAATCAATTTGTTTTTATTTTGTTCGTTTGATTAGACGTGATGTTTTAACACCACCGTTATTACAAAGTATTATTCGTTTTTTTATAAAGGGTGATAAAAAGCTTAATCATAGTTTACAAGAATCAATTGATTATCTTGTTAGTGCATGTATGATTGTTACATTATTTGTTCTTATTCTTTTTGGTAGTACATTACTTATTATACAGGTTTATTTAATCTTTTAATTTTATTTATTTATTTTGTTTTTATTAAAATTTCAGATCCATGATGAAAGTATACATATGATTAAATTAACAAGTAATCTTGTTAATGAAACACAAGTGCTACAACATATGTTACCTGATAAAGAGCATATGAGTTATATAATGGATAGAGGTCTTAATAAATTGTATATTTTCGGAAGAAATTGGATAACTAAACAGGTTAGGAAAATCTAAAGAAAAAAAAAATTTTTTATATCATTTATCATTGATAGATTGCAAAAGTTCAACCACCTCGTGTTGAAATAAAATGTTGTCTTCCAATAAATGTCATTACAAATGAATCACTCTATGTAAGTACATTAGGTCAAGATAATTTATCGAATAAAAAACTTGAAGAACAAATCTTACACTTATGGGATCGTCTTTATACATATATAACAAATACATCAACATTATTTATTACACATAAAAATTCTAATAGAATATTATATTCATCATCAAATCAAAATTTTCGTTTATTGAATTTTTTAACATATATACAAACAAATTTTGATTTTCATATAAATGATCTTTATCATTTAATACGGGATAATCTTGATTTATTACGCACTATTCTTGATTCAGTTTGGTCAAATGTTTCAATTATTTTAACATTAATTTCAACAATTATTTCATTATTATTTACGGGTGGTTTTGCTTTATTGAATTTTTTTGTTTCATTTATTGTTTTTGTTACTTTACTATTCTATCTTCTATCACATTCAGATCAACCAATATATCAACCAACAATATGGCTTAATAATACGTTAGCAATAGGTGGTTCAGGTTTAGGTAAAGCAGTTAATGATGTTGTAACAAGTGTTTTTATTGCTTCATTAAAAATTGCAACTTTTTATGGACTTTATACATATGTATTACATACTTTACTTGCTTCAAATTTTGTTTTTTTACCTGCTGTTATTGCATCAATATGTGCTGTTACTTTACAGTCATATTGGGCAGCATTACCCGGTTGTCTTGATCTATGGCTTGTACAACAACGTCCATTAAGTGCCTTTATATTATTATTTGCTCAAATTGCACCTGTTTATATTGTTGATACAGCTATTTATAGTGAAGTTAAAGGTGGAGGACATCAGGTATAATTATTTTTACAATTTCATTTGTTGATGATAGAATTTCACAAAATGAATTTGCTTATATTTTGAACTTTGAACATGTTTTTTAGACACTTTTTATATAGAAGATGTATGTTGAGTTACTCAAGATACCAAAAAAAAAATTCAGTTCTAGAAGCATTTCTTTCGTCGAGTTATTATTAAAATACCAGCCTTAGCGATACGAATTAGAAAAAGGACAAAGTTTTTCACTATGTACGTTTCCATTTATAAATACTGTAAAGTCAAACAATACTTTTTGAAAACTAAATAATGCATTTTATAGAGAGAACTATTCAGGCTACATAATACTAACTTGAATAGTCATTATTGAAGATTGTGAGATAATAGCAAGACAAGATCTCATTCTGAAAATTCTGTAAAACCAGTTTTCTCGAAGGAAATTTTTCGGAGTTCGATGTTACTAAAAATTTCGTCATAGATGTAATCTTTGACATGGAGCCTATTTTGAAATTCTCGAACTTTCTCATCATACGATTAGAGAATAAATCGATAATTATGTTTTATTAACTAACTAATTAACTTTAGTTAGGTGTGAGCTGAGAGAGGCAATATTTTTATATGTATTCAAAGAAAAACAATTTGTTCAAAAAAAACAGAAAAGAAGTCTTATAAAGAATAAAACAGGATTTCGTCCATATCAAAACATTTCAATTGAAGATAATCGTTTATTGAATTTCAAACTTTGAAAAAGCTTAATAGACTACAAAAAAAGGTAAATAGGCATTAATCTGTTAAAAGATGTTTGAATATAAAATACCTTTAAAATATTGTACTTTTATTTCATCACAATCAATTTGCAGATGATTCTAAGAAAGTCGCATTCCGAAATTACTTCGAATCACTGATTCAATACCACACTGCGATATATACCAATCTCTCAAAATTTTCTCAGATCTTTTGAAAGCAGTTAATATGTATTCGCTTACGAGAGAACATTCCCAGGTGTTGGAGCGATTTTGCGCCTCTTGTAGGCCTTGATGAATTATGTCTACCGTAAAAAACGTTCGTGCCCATAGCTTGTTCCTAGTGAGATATCGAGGTTTTAGTGAATTTTTCCTATAAGATCCCACATTTGCAGCAAGGCCATATTTTTGAATTTTGATCTGAAACTTTGCCCACATAAACACCTCAGCTAGACTAGTTTGCATAAAAAATTTCAGAGCTTTTGGACAAAGTCTCTTCGAGATATGAAGCTTTCAAAAAATGCATGCTTTATAATTACGCTATCTAGGGAAAACGGCTTATACGTTGAAAGCTTCATATCTCGGAGAGACTTTGTCCAAAAGCTCTGAAATTTTTTATGCAAACTAGTCTAGCTGAGGTGTTTATGTGGGCAAAGTTTCAGATCAAAATTCAAAAATATGGCCTTGCTGCAAATGTGGGGTCTTTTTATAGGAAAAATTCACTAAAACCTCGATATCTCACTGGGAACAAGCTAGGGGCACGAACTTTTTTTACGGTAGACATAATTCATCAAGGCCTACAAGATGAGCAAAGTCCCGACTCAAAAGCGTCCCAACATCTGGGAATGTTCCCTCGTAGCATTATCGACACCAGGTATTGTAGTAAAAAAATGTCACTTTTTTTTCTCATGCACTTTTCACACTTTAAACGGCATTTGATGCCCAACATAAATATACCAAAAGATGCAGCGCATTCGGGGTTTTCTCGCTATATATAGTAGATTAACAAATAAAAGAATTACAATAACAAAAACAAAAGGGGGAATTTCAATTGACCCCGACTCAAATAGTTGGTTTAAACAATTTATGGCTTTACCATTAATTTCTACGGAACTTATTGATGATGCTTTACAATTGTTGATGAATAATACACCTTCAACAGATCGTAAATATTATAGATTTATTAAGTATTTTAAGAACGAATATATGACACGTACTGCAGTTGATTTATCGCACCATGATCATACTGATATGAAAACCAATACTCTGTCGAGGGTAAACTTTATGTTTGCATTTTTACTATTTTGTTTTTGGAATTCTTTATTTTTATTATTTTAGGTTATAATTTTCGACTATTAAATCGTTTTGGTTTACATCCCTCAATATGGGAATTTATACATTACTTAAAACATGAAGAAGCTTTAGTGTCACATAGAATTATACATTTAGATGGGGGTGGTGGTATTACTTCAAGTACATTAGTTTATGTACTTATGCAAGCTAAGAGCAAAGCAAAAGAAAACGAAAACGAAAAACAACTAATACGTTTACAAGATCTATATTATTCCAATTGTATTGGTCTAAAACAGTATTTCACATCTGTTACATTAATGGTCGGTAAAGTCGCAGAAAAATGTACAAATGCGAACAGTGCGGATCAAGCAGGTGCAAATGCACATTCAGTCAATAATGAAGGTATAGTTGATTAGAAAAGACTCTTATTTATGGAAATATAAACTTATTTAATTTATATCTGTATACAAGGTGCATTTTTTCTTTGTATGAAATAAAAGAAGTTTAAATAATGTTTATTTAAAAGAATGTATCTTGATATACAGCAAAAGATATGATCGGAAGAAGATCAGTAAAAATATTATATTGTTCTTCGTTTTTGAAACTCCACGTCCAGTATGAGACTGTAATGCTTAAATATTCTATCATCAATTTAATTCAGTCATAATTCTACGAATTACAATTGGCGAACTTACAGAGAGCCGACTGAAGTACGGTGAAGTATAAGTGAAATACATGTTTTGGTAAGAAGGTTGAATTGATATTTGACATGATTAATTACCTTCTTTTATTTTATTTTTAATTAATTTAATTTAATGTTTTGTTATTTATTATAATTTAATATTAATAATTTATTTAAATTTAAAATTTCTCACGTTTCGTATCTCGATGAGATACTTCTTCAGACACAAAAATCAAGACAAATGTACATAAGAACAAACAAAATTTTTCTTTTCTATAGTATTAGTCATACTTAGATAGTGATACGGAAAAGAATTCGATCCCTATCTAGCTATTACTATTACCATCTTGTTTTTTCGTATCACTGTCAAACTGTGACTAATACCAAAGAAAA